GGCCCCGCCCAGGGGGGAGGAGGGCGAGGGGAGGGGGACGCGCTGCCCGGCGCAGTCCTGGGGTGCCTCTCACTTGCTGTGTGTGTGCTTCTGGGGACCCCCGAAGCTCTGTGTACCTCACTTTCCATGTGGTGCTGTTGGCAGGAGCTGACAAGTTATTACATTAGCACAGAGTAAACACTGAAGAAATGCTAGTTTCACCCTGTTTAACAGGAGAGGCAGCTGAAAGCGGGTAGCTTGCCTCAAGTGACACAGCTAGAAAAGATAAGAGCGCTCAGGAGCACCTTATCCACTTCCTGGGCCCCGACACAGGTCTCAGGCGGCCACCAGAGGGCGCCCCGGTTTCGGGAGAGACAGCCCGTGGCGCGCCGGATCCTCTGCTCCGGTAAACCAGGCAGGCTGGAGTGAGACGGCCACTCCGTGCCGCTTCACAGGTGGAGTTGCTGCGCGCATACCTAGCAGGAAGTACAGTCTAGACTAAAACCCGTGTCTCCTCACTCACGGAGCGGTGAGCTTTCAAATAAAAATGCAAACTTTTATTGAGCCAGAATATTTACTGTACGCCCTGCCCCAACCCCATTGTACTCCAGCGTCGGTGCCAACCAAATATGCATTAACTAGTTTGACAAAGGTTAATATTGCAGTGGGGATTAGGGATCCCTTGGAAATTTGGGGTGGGATAGACTAAACAGAGGGGACCTCTGAGCTGCATTCTGTAGGATGTATCAGATTTGACCAGATGGCGGGGCTCCAGGGAGAGAAAGGGAGGGAATACGTAGAGGGAACAGCGCATGTAAAGGCACAGAGGCAAATAGTTTGGAAGAGCAAGGTGTGTCCTGGGAGTGGTGAGCTTGTGCTGGGGGAGGGGCGAGGGACAGGTGAGGCTGAGGCGGTGGAGCTGGGATTGCTGGGCAGGGGGAAGCCAGTTTCCCCTGGGGAGGAGGAATCACCAAAGGTACCTATGTCTGTTGCTCATGAGACTGACTCCTCCGGGCCCAGGGGTGCCAACCCCAGGACCAGACCCCACTGCCCTGGGTAGGAGACCCCGCTCAGTGCCTGGCACTGAGGATACAGGGAGTCAGGAAGGGAGAGTTAACCGAAATTCTCACGTCCCGATTAAGTCAGAGATGGAAATGATCTCATTCCACCATCAAGTCTCTGAACCCGCCCTTGCCAGTCCTCCAGAGTCCTGTTTTCTCCCTGTGGGGAGGCCTCAAGGAGCCACACACCCTAATTCAGGTGGTGCCATTCATCCAGATATGGGCATCTTACAGAGGCTTCCAGAGTGAATGGTTCATGTGGGGGCTCATGCACAGCTCCGCTCCCACGGCCCTGAGGCAGCAGTCCTGTGTGCATTGGACAGCTTCACCTTCCCACCTAGTTTCTGCCTCCCTCCTGTCTTCCCAGGCTCTGTGGCCCCACCAGGTGCCACGTCCCCTGTCGGGGCGGGCTAGGTTTACCCAGGAGCTGGTCCAGGGGTGTGGGAGGGAGGTTGTGGCCAAATAGGGTATGGGGGTTGGAGCCAGCTCCCCTTGTCATGATTTCCTTGACTAGTTAGTCATGGGGCCACCCTGGGGTGGTGGGGATGTGTTCTGTCACCCTGGGCCTGGCTGACCAGTCTCATCTCTTGGCACAGGGGCACAGAGCTATGGTCTGCTAGATCCCAAACTCTGCTACCTATTGGATGGGATCCTCTTCATCTACGGTGTCATTGTCACTGCCCTGTTCATCAAAATGAAGGTGAGTCCCACTTGGCTCTGAGGGGAGGGGGTGGGCTCCCCCACTGGGTAGATGTTCCCAGGGGACTTGGTCTTGGTCTTGGAAGTCTCAAGCGTGGGGGTGCCTGGGGCTTGGTGTCCATGGGCAAAGCAGGGACCAGCCAAGTGTGCACATCTGGTGGACTGGGGGAGCCAGGGGTTGGGGGGAGTTCTGGTGGAGCTGGACCCTGTGAGAGGGAGAGCCTGGTGAGGAGCCTCAACCCATTGCTCTTTTGGATTTTGGACTTTGGCAAAAGATGTTATTTGAAAAACAGTCTTACTGATTTTCCTTTTTTAAGTCGGAACCACGCTGCCCTCAACGGTCTCTCAGGTGGTTTCCAGCGCTCTGAATCTGTAAGACCTTGCAGATCCTCTCTGTGGAGGAGGCCCGAACTGAAGAAAGGGAGGCCTTGTGTGCCTCGGGCAGGTCCCCAGGACACTAGGCTAGCGAGACTCAGCGACACACGTAAAGCACCCTGCCCCAGAGGTCAAGATAGGAGGTGGGACCTGGTGCAGCCGCTGTCCACCTGGGGCTGTCCTCCGAGATCCTGGCAGGAAGGGCCTGGACTGTCACCGGAACCCGTCAGCTCCGGGCGGTGGGGTCCCAGGTTCCTGGTCCACGGACACAAAAGAATTTGAGAGGGACACACAGCAGTTTTAACAGAGGAGGATTTATTAGCAAAATGAAAGCACACCCCCAAGGGGAGGGGCGGCAGGCTCGAGCGAGCAACTGCACCAAAGTTGTGGCGGTTGGTGGCTTTGGAATGTGTGGTCCGGGGGCGGGCGAGGGTCTTGGGACTTGTGCCGATCTGGGCATTGTCTCCACCCGCACGTCGGGAGGGGGAGATTCTTCCTTTACGTAGGCATCTCCGGAACTGTGATGGCGGTGACCCCCCGCAGTGGGGGTCAAAACCGCAATGCAAATAAGGTATAAAGCGGCTTGGGCCTCTCCTCCCGGTGGAAGGGGTGGGGGGGAGTGCCGCACGTCGGAAGAGCCGCTGCCGGGTAAGGAGGACGCTGCACCCGGTAGAGCGGCCTTGCCCCCGGCTCATATCTAGCTTCCTGCCCATCTCAGGACAACACCCTGGTGTCGCAGGGGCGCCTGCGGGGAGAGCGCAGCGGCCGCCCCGTGCCCGCGGAGGAGAGGCCCGGGGAGCTCGGAGAAGGGGCCCAGGCGCGCCGGCGGCCGTGGAGGAGCGGCCGGGCTGGCCCCGGTGGGCAGTGACCGCTCTCCTCTCTTCCTCTCTTCCAGTTCGGCCGGCGAGCGGGCGCGGCCGCCCGCGAGGAGCCGCAGGGCCAGCTCTACCACGTGAGTCAGCCCGTCCCGCCCGCGGGGCGTGCAACCTCGCTGGGCTCAGGGTTCGGACCCATAAACGGGGTGGTCGCTGTGCCTGCCTTGGGGTGCTGTGGGAGGACCCCCTCTAACCACTTGAGGCGTGGAAAGCGACTGCTCCTAGCTAGCCCCCAAGCCCCCAGCAGTGTGCACAGGCCTGGGGTGGGTGCAGAAGACGGGTGGGGCCCTGCCTGCACATGGGACTCTGGGCGATCATTACCACCCGCCCCGCTCCCGTCCATGGTCCTGCACGTTCTCTGAGCTGGTCTCTGAGCTGGTGGTATCCTATGGACCGGTTACCACCCTCAGTGCCGTCCCTGCTCCTTCCTTAGTGAGCCACCACCCAGGGGACTCCCAGTCCAGTGGGCCCTGCCCTCCTGCCCTTCTCTTTCCTGTCTCTCACGCTGTCTTGCCTGCTTTAGGAGCTCAATCTAGGACGGAGAGAGGAGTACGACGGCATTTTGGATAAGAGAGCGGCCCGAGACCCTGAGATGGGAGGGAAACAGGTAAGTCTTCTGCGTGCCTCTGTGAGTGTGTGTGTGTGAGAGAGAGAGAGAGGGCTCCTCAGCACCAGCACCCCCTGCCACTACACTTGTCCCTGACCTCTGAGGACAGATGGAGGCTCCATTGGCTGCCCCTCCTTCTCTTGCTTCCCCCTTGGCTCCCTCTGCATCACAAGGGGCCCCACATGCGTGAATGTGGCACCCTGGCCCTCGTGTCTAGGCTCCATCCACCTCCCCTCAAACTGCTCCAAACTGGCCCCTGAGATGTACACGCAGTTGGCGCTGTCCTCCCCCAGGAGGACAGACCCGGTGAAGAGGTCCACACGGGAAGGCCCAAGGCCACTGGGCAAGGAATTCTGGGCCCCAGGTACCCCTCCAAGCATGGTCAGGCTTCGGGCTCCGGGCGTCTCTGTCGTCTTGGCTGTAGACGCCACAGTCTGTGAGGAGGGAGCAGGTGGATGAGGCCAGAGTGGGCCCAAAGGCCCGGGCTGCCCGGGTTTTAAAGCAATACTGCCTGACGCTGCCCAGTGGCCCTTGGTGTTTCTGGTCACATCTGTCCATCCAGCCCCATCCTGGCTCTCTGAGCCCTGTGCTGGGCGTGCTGTTGCTGGAATGAGTGGGCAGGTATGAGAGACCATCGGTTTCCTTGACATTCCACCCCCTCCCCAGTCCTCAGCTCTTCTCCTCTCCTCTTGTCTGGACTGGGAGGGGTGGAGAGGAGTGGGGAGGGGGCCCTGCAGGGAGGTGAAGCCTGTGTGCAGGGGGATGTGCAAGTGTGCATTAGGAAGTATGAGACGTGCTAGAGCCATGAGGGCCCCAGAGTGGCCGCACAGGGAGGGGCCAGGCTGGGGGCAGAGCCACAGCGGATGTGGGGAGTGGGGAGGGTGTTGCAACTCTCCTGGCCTGCATTTATGTTTCTCCACCTCTGACTTGTTCCCCTTGTCTCTCCTAGCAGAGGAGGAAGAATCCTCAAGAAGTCGTGTACAATGTGAGTAGAGGAGGTGGCGCGTTTTCCCTTAGAAAGTCGGAGGGAAGGGCTGGAGGAGGGCTCCCTACACAGGCTTTGCTCCGTACTCCAAGGCCTTTGCCTGTCTTGACTTGCACTTCCCTGCACAAAAATACTGCCTCAGCGCCTTGCTGCCTGCAGTGGCTGCTTGAAGGAAGCCCCTTCACCTGCCTGCCCTCCCTCAGACCCTGAGGCTGCTGCCGGAGTTCCCGGATCAGCCTGGTTGGGAGGATTGGGGGACAGCGAGGTCAGGCTGGGCAAGCCCCTCTGAGGGGCTCCTGTTTGTAGGGGCTGGAGTAGTCTCCTGAGTGTCGCCTCTTGTTGAAAAGTCAACCTCACCACCCTGGGTGAGCGTCTGGTTGTTGTTTTCAGACGGTTGGTCTGGGTCTGCCCCGCTGGAGCCCCTTGCAGGTGGTAACCTGCTGTAAGGAGAGCTGCCTCTCCTTCCCTCCTGCAGTTCATAGACCCACAGCCTGTGGTGTTGGCTGTGTAAAGAGACAACTTTCTCAAATCAGTGATCCTGGGGGCTCCAGGTGAGCCCTCCCATTGGCCAACCTTCGTGTCCTGTGGCTAGAACTCCACATCTTGTCTTTTTTAATCTAACCTGAGCTTCTCAGCTCAGTGCAAAGGGCTGGCAGCTCAGAGAAGATTCCAAAGGGCTGAGGAGGAGGAGGGTGGCGTTGGAGCCGGTTGTGGGCAAAGATGTTGTGTCAATAAGGCCCGGACCCTTGACTGTGGGAGCCCCCCACCAACTTGGGAATTGACAGGCCTCCTCTTGTAGGGAGCCCACTGTTTTCTGCATTAGTTGGTAAAACCAATGTCTCATGCCCATTTCTTCTCCAGTCGCTGCAGAAAGACAAGATGGCAGAGGCCTACAGTGAGATTAGGGTGAAAGGCGAGGTGAGTGGGGCTCTTTGTAATTCCCCAGGATGGGTGGGGAGTGCTCTGGAGAGGTTCTGCGCAGTCTCACAGATGCCCCTGCTGGGGCCTCCGTTCCATCCATTCCTCTAACACCAGCAGAAGCCCCGGGGGTGGCCGCCAGAGGCAGAGGTTAATCCAGCTCTCACCTCCTGCACAGTACCAAAGATACTAAGCAAGGGCTGGTGCTCTTTTAGGATTAAAAAACCAAGTCTAGATTCTGAGACAGCCTATGCTTTGCAAAAGCAGGTCAAATCTGTCACCGTTAAAAACAATAATCATCAAGTGCTTACTGTGTGCCCTCGTGTGTTCCGTGCTCAGGTCCACCAGGCCCCTTGTTTGTAAAGGACTAAGAATTTCCAAACGGTGAGAGCAGAGCGTTGAACCCCTCTGAGCAGGGGCCTGTGCGACCGTGTAGGTCGCACGTCCACATGGCCAGCCTGGTCAGTGCATTACCAGGTAGTTGGTCTCATACAGTTCCCACAGTAACTCGATGAAAAGTGTGTGCCCAGCCAAGCACAGAAGGTCGAATAACTTACCTAGGTCACGTAGCTCGTAAATAGGGGTGAGGATTTCCACGGACTCTGCAGCCCGAGCTTGCAGCCACTCTGTAGTGCCATTCCCAGGAGGAGCGGTGATGAGCCAAGAGTTTTGAGAGCTGCAAGGGAAGCCCGTTTGTTCCAAGCAGTGGGCAGCGTGGCCAGCTCCCGTGTGACCCAGATCCTGGGAGTCTGATGTCTGTGAAGATCCGAGTGGGACAGAGCAGACTCAGGCCCCGTCAGAGCCAGGCCTCACCTTGCTCTGCAGAGGCCGAGACCTGACCAGTGTCGCCTGAGGACCCTTCTCTCCCAGGGGCAGGTTGCTGGCTGGGAAACAGTCACCTCCTACTCTCTGGAGGCCCCTCAAATAGGGCTCTTGAGCACGAAGGCCACTGCTGGCTGTTGAACTGTCTAACCCTTTTCTTGTCTCCCTCCCACAGAACCAGCGGCGGAGAGGCAAGGGGCACGATGACCTTTACCAGGTAGGAGCTGATGGCGCTGCTTTGTCTGTGCTGCAGGCCCTCCTTCCCAGGGCCGTGCCCTCTAACCAGGGGCGAGGTCCGGGCAGGCTCGGGGCGCCATTCAGCCCGTGGTGACTCCTCTGCCAGTCAGTCCCTGGGGAGGCAGGGCTGGGATTCAGCCATCCAAGCACATAACTTGGCTCCAGCCAGGAGGCCATGGGAGCCCTGGGCACTGGCCACAGCAGACGAGCAGCAGCTGCCCAGAGGCTGTGCGATCGTGTCCAAAGGGCAGATGTAGGCAGAGGACGCCACACAAGCTGTTTCCTGACTTCCTGCCCTGCTCTGGGCCCTGGCAGAAGACTTGCTCTGCCTTGTATCCTCAGACTTAATAAGATGAGAAGATGGGCGGGAAGATTGAAGGAAAAAAAAATCAAGAAAAATAACTTTAAAAAGAAAATGTTATTGTAGTCAGGTGCCTGGCTTATGCAGATCAGTGCACATAATTATGCAAACTAAGCACAGCCAACCTACTTCTCTAAAATATAATCCCCCGTGGGTTCTCACTTGCTCCTTCTGGCTCCCGTGGACTGTTCACAGCTCGCTCGACTGACTCCAGCGTGTCAGGCTGCTCGGCTTGCCTGGGCGCAGGGTGATGTCAGAAGGGCCCCCAGAATTTTACCGTGTGTGGCTGCTGTTGCTCTGTCTCCTGGACCAGGGAGAGGGGTTCCAATGAGACTGGGCCCCTCCTGCCTGTTCCCTGGCGAGAACGTGACTGGAATAGCATGGCCTGGCAGGAGGCTCAGGGAGCAGGGCTGAGGCCGAGGAGCCCCTCTGTCTCCATGACAAATCCTGGCCTCCTGGAGGCCCAGGTACCGGGAACAGCAGATTCTCTGGAGCAGGCCCAGGCCCTTCCCCCTGATTCCAGCTCAGTGTTCTAGGTGGGGGACTCTCCTTCCTCTTTGGTCCCATGGGAGGTTGGCCAGGCCCAAGCACTGTAGGGCACACACGTGGGAAGCTGGGAAGAAGGTGACGATTTAGCTGGGAAGGAATTGCTCCCAGGCCATTCCCAACAGGGCACAGAACCATCTCCTGCAGCCTCTGGGCCAAGGCCCCACCTGTGGCATGAGGGGATTGTTCCTGGGCCTTTGGAAGCTGGGTGGGCAGTCACCGGCCATGCCGCGAACACGTCTGTTGGCCTCCAGGTCGGCTTGTGCCCACATAAGTCTCCTGACCCGCTCGTCTGTTCTGATTTGCTTTCACCAGGGGCTCAGCACGGCCACCAAGGACACCTACGATGCCCTCCACATGCAGACCCTGCCTCCTCGCTAACAGCACAGGGGATCTCACCACTCCCAGGCCAGAGCTGCAGACGCCTAGATTGTTAAAGACACAGGATAAAGCATTTACAACCCAGTTCACTCATACTTCTCACCACCAAAGAATTCCTCTTTATAAATAGGACGCTTCAAGTTGTAACATTAGGTCATGTCCAATTCCAAACCATCACACACAGAATGTCGTCCCTGGACACTGTGAAGGAGTGCGTCCCCCGAGGTAATGCCCACCCTGTCCTTGAGGAGCCCGTTGTGAGCAAGCGTGTTCTCGGGGCTTCTGGTTTGCTGGAGACTGTGGGTAGGCCCCTCTCCCGGCGGCTCTGGGCTCTTACCTGGGAGACGGGCACACTCTTTCCTTCTCACAGCCCATTTAAGTCTGTGTTTTGTAAAGTCCCTAGAGAAACCCCAAATGTTAGCACATGTCCTAATAGTCTGTATTGTTCTATTAGTATTTGAGTGGCTTCACTCCTGCTGTAAATTTGGCTTCTGCTGTCAACCTACCCCCTCATTTCAAGCTAACTTGTTAATTGGGCTAAGGAGGCTGTTGTGGGTCCCCGTGAAAGGTCTGGGCGGAGGGAAAGATGGAAGAGAGCCTAGGCAAGTGTGTGGCAGCCCGAGGTGGCTGAAGAAGGGAAGCAGTGGATGAGGCATAGGAGCAGGGAGCCTGCTCTGGGGACTCAGGGGGACAGAGGGGGCCTGCCTTCAGTCAAGCATACGTTCCCCATTATAGAACCTGTGTGCCAGGTACTGTGGGGACCGGAGGATGCACCAGCCTGTCCTCGCCCTCCTGGAGCGCACATGCTCACAGGGAAGGCGGGTGGTGACAAACTGGTATAAAGGACACAGTCAGTGTCAGGACAGAGCATGAACAGAGCACGGGGGGAGGGGAGACGGGGCAAGACCACGTTCTTTCCAGGCACGTGTTCCCTTCACACTCCGAGTGAAAGACAAACCCATCATCGTGAAGGCCTCGAAGGAGGACTCAGCACCACTTGGACCTATAAAGACCCCAAAGGAAGTGGCACAGCGGGAAGAATCTCAGCTGACTTATGGAACATGGCTGTGTAATTAAAGGGCACGTGGCCATGGGTGGATACCCCCTCTGCTCTGCTTGGTTTTAATTTATACTGGTTTGTTAAAGCCTTACTCTTTTGCATAATAAATGCTTCAGTGAAATGCTGCTCTGCTCTAAGCCTTATTTCAGCAGTCAAGCCTGTGATGGTACTTTCGTCATCGGGACATCAGCCTGCTGCCCTTGCAGTGTGGCCAAACTGCGGATTCTCAGGAGAGAACAGCGTGGTTCCTTGGAATGTGCGGGTCAGAGCGGGTGCATCCAGTGGCCCAGGATGCTGCTGTGGGGGCGGTGACACACTTCGCAAGATGAGCATGGATTCTAGGCCGGTGGCTGTGCCTCGGGGCCGTGAGAGCAGCGCTCAGTGTGATGTAGCGTGTTGGGTGGCACAGGCCAGGCCTCCTGCGGGAACCGAGAGGGTGATGGGAAAGGAGCCCCGGAGCACAGGGCTCCCAGCACGTGCCTCGCTGGTGGAGTGCAGGAAAACGAGCCGGAGAGAGGCTAGCCGAGCATTCGGGCATCAGGAAGCAGCAGCACTGTTGGCAGAGCATGTCTGAGAGTTACCAACAGCCACCTGTGCCACAGCACTAACCTCAGACAATAGGGTTTAGGGAGCGATGGAGGACGGCAGAGGTCCTTTAGGTCAGTTTCCCTCACAAAAGGTGGGCCTGTCCCCAGCAGTATTTCCTCTAACTGCAGTGGCTGTTTAAAGGACCCAACTCATCAAGCCACCAATTAATATTGGGTAAAGACTTTGAAATCAAAAAAGAAGTCCAATGCCATGGCTGTTAAAAGCCCCTGAGCATTTGGGATTCCAGCAGGAGTGATGTGCATCTCTGCCGGGCATGTATATATATAACTCAGGCAACTCACAGAGAGAAGGCATTCGATTTGTAACCTGGTCTCATAGGGGAATTCAATTCCATTCAACAAATATTTACCTAGCACCTACCTATTCTGTGCCCAGCACTTTGCAAGTGCTTTGCAAGTACCAGGGAGGATAGAGAAGTACCATAAGAGTTAGGGACTTAAAATTTTGTCATCGGATTTCACCCACATCCTAGAAAGGAACTTAGCATCACGCTGCAGTGTCATGATACGCACGGGACAGGCAGGTGAACACAGAGTGAGGCAGGGATGCGTAGCTGCCACGGAAGGGGAGCATACAGAGCCCAGCAAGGTACGGGAGAAGCTGTGGAAGGTGTCACGGAGAGAATGGGCCTCTGAGGAAGGACAGAATGCTGAAGGCTAGCAGCCCTAATTATGTAACCTGGTCATGAAGCAAAGGAATGGGAAAAGGACACTATGTTGCTTTAGCTGCCTTGATTCCACGGACTGAATTTATTAAGACAATTGGCAGCCTCTTTTGGGCTGCGACTTCTTTATCTTCTACTGCCTGGGCTTTTTAAAAACTGAAGTTGGGTTCATCTATTCGTCCAAGTGAATAAGCCTCACACCTCACACCTCATTTCAAGGTCAGCTGAGATATACAGGCTGTGTGATCCGTATGACTGGCTTGAAAATAAGAGAGTTTGACCCAATTCCGTAAGGGATTTGACTCAAGAGGCAAGGAGGAAAGCTGGCAGTGAGTTATGGGTGCTGGAGCTGACTTGGGGTGGGCGAGGCAAGAGGCCTTCCGGACCACGTGCAAGATAAGCACACAGGGAGAGCAAGTTGGGGGAGGGCTGAATGGATGTCTGGACAGAACGAAGCCCCAGAACCAATTGAGAGAGGCCTGGCAGTGCCCTCTCCAAAGCACAACTGGATTCCCTCGATCCCAAGAAATTACTGATTGTATAATGAGATGTACCATCAACTTAATTTCAAGTAACATAAACATCCATTGTAAGTTGGAGCCGTGTTTCCTAAGTGTTAAAATACGAAGATGTCTGTCTCAGAACCAAGGAAATATGGCATTTTACTTGTATTGAGGAACCAAGACATTTTATGTGTGTGGGTGTGTAAATTAAGATGGAAGCATTCAGTACTTTTTAAAACGACATCACTTTGATGTCGCTGGACTCAGAGGTAGGATGTGGCTATTTCTGATCCATTTTTTTTCTTCTTGGAGTATGACTCAAGGCTCTTCTTTTACAAACAGAACAACATTCAAACACTGAAGCTAGGTTTGGCAGGTACAAAAATGGCAGATGGGGGCCGCCTGGTGGCGTGGTGGTTCAAGTTCACATGCTCTGCTTCAGTGGCCCGGGGTTCCCAGGTTCGGATCCCAGGTGCAGACCTACGCACCACTCATCAACCCATGTTGCAGCGGCGCCCCGCATACAAAATAAAGGAGGATTGGCAGGGATGTTAGTTCAGGGCTAATCTTACTCACACACACACACACACAAAACCAATGGCAGGTGACCAATTCAAGCTAAGAGGACAACTCCCAAGGGAATTCAAAGCGTGGTCAGCTGGTCAGCTGTTTGGCTGTAGACCTCGTTCTGTCCGTGGATAACTCATGATGCATTTTGGTAGCCTGGCACTGGACATTTCTGTGAACTTAGGACTAAGTTCTAACTACAGGGGTCCTATAACTTCAACCCCTAGTCTCTGGAGAGAGGAAAGGCAGCAGTAAGAGCAGATATTTTATTGACACACTCTCATAGGTAATTCAGCTTGGTAGATGTCACTGGAAGTGAGTTAGAACATAACCTTTTGAAAAAGGACTACAGGGTAACAGAATCTAATCAGTACTTTATCCTCAGTTCTCGGGATGTGACACATGGGTTTTGCGTTCTAAAGCCTTTGTCATGCTCGTGAGCGTGCCAACTGTCTCTACCAAACAGAAGATTTCTGTTAAAAACCTGAAATTGTTTTAAGGAAATAACTTTGCAAACTTAAATGCAAGCTATAAATACAAGAAGGGGTGGAATGGAAAAGAATGAGAAGTTCTTTGATGTAGGAGCAGGGGAGAAGAGGACCGATGTTTGCTTTCCCACTTGGCCCCTTTACAGAGCCTTCTGACAAGAACAGCAGCCACGGCGAGAGGACAGCGCCGTCTCCTAACTCAAGCACACCTGTGCCTCACGTTCAGCTCCAACACACACTAGTTAGGAGTGCCTCCCGAATCTCGAATCTCGGCAACAAGCTCAAGTTTTCTCTCTGTGGGAAATTCTTTTTAAGATTCAAATTTTCCTTTTCCTGCAATCAACTAATTGCATTAAGACACTAAATACTGAGTAGGATAATAAGCTGGAGGGAGCTAAGTTGTGCACCTTGAGCAAGAGACCAAGTTCAGGACCAGCTTCCTCCAGTGGAGCCCCAGAGAACGAGCGAGCAGGTTGGGCAGGACATGCTAGAGGGGCACGGCAGTTTAAACAATGAATTTGGAAAAGTCAAGTTCAATACCAGTTCTGTAGTCAAAACCACAGTGAGCCGGGAGCTTTGATCTCTCGCAGGATCAATCAAGGGCCTGTGCTTGATCACACAGAGCCCTCTGGTCTGAAGGAGACCGCTGCTCCTCGACTTAGGGTCCCGCTAATCCCTGAGGGTCTGGGGAGGGGGAGTCGGGGTGGGGTGGCAAGGACCAGTGTGCTCACGGGGGTCCTGGGGCTCCCGAGAGCACCTGCTGGAAAAAATCAACTGAGAGGCTATGTGCGCAGCCTTTGTGGGAACGTGTGTGTGAAGCATCGAGAATACCAACACAACTTCAAAGAAACTCAAACGATGTGAAAACACTTGGAAAATGGTTTAATGATGTTTTACAACAGAAATGAACTGTACAGTTACAGTAAGTTTAATATATATAAAAAATTACAGCAGACAAATGCATCTACACAAATCTACCATTTCATTCTGATTCACCGTCACCTACACAACCTCTCCCAAGCCTGCAGCCCCCTGCAGGCAGCCCCTGGGGGGGGCGGGGAATCATATAAAGGGCACTTTAAAGAGACAGCACCACTCATAGTCCCCACCACCTCCTCAGGGCTCGGGAGGGACCAGCTAATCCCCCCAAATGTAAAGTTGCTTGTGTTTCGGGTTTTCAAAACCAAGAAAACGTGTGTATCCCAGGGCCCAGATAACAAGATCCCGACCTCCAAGTTATCAGCTGATTCTTAAAAAATATTCCTATCCGAGGGGAAATGCCTAACCAGGCGCTCTGGGGCAGTGAGGCTGTACAACAGCCACCCAGACTGCAGAGTGACCTGCGGAGAAATGTCCAAGGACTCCCAATAAACTACTCAGGAATTGTCACTGCCTCATTAAAGCTGCTGGACAATTTGGAAAGAATCATTTACACCACATCTTAAGTTTCCACAAAAGAGAACTCAAACTCACATTTTAAAGTTAAGTACATAAAAAGTTTTGGGAGGCCAAGGGGCCAATTCCCCCTTGTGTCCCTCCCATGACAACAGTGGAAAAACACCCCTGAATCAAATATTTTATAAAAAGAATAAGAAAAGAAAAAGGTGGGGGAGTTAAGATATTTAAAGACAGAGAGAAAGAAAACATCTTTAGAAAAAACACGATGACTGTCTCTTTAAAACGAAACAAAATCCCAGCTGGAA